TAAAAAAAGAAAAGGACTTTCAAAACTTGAAGATATAATACTAGTTAGTATATTACTATTAATCAATCAAAATTTATTTAGAATTTTTAATAATATTATTCTTTTTAATATTTTAATATTTTACACTTACGATCGACGACACTATCAAAAGAGTTAATTAATTCTTTCATTATTATTTTTAAATTTTTTATTAAAATCTCAAAGATTTAATCATTGTCTTTTTAATTTATAATATCAAAAATTAAAATTCGAAAGTGTGATATTTAAATAATTTAAATAACTATTTAAATTAATATTTGAAAGATTTATTTTTCAGTATTTTTTAGTATTTTTTAAAAAAGAATATTTGATTTGATAATCTTTATATAATGTGACCAAAAGGGTGTTTATAGACCAGCAATTGTATTTAACTTGGAATCTACAGGTGAAGAGCATCTGTAGATGGGGATAGCTACTCTATATGTACACAAATGAATGGCCTAGCCGCAATGGCTAGGCAAAAAGAAGTCATATTTACCCCTCCAATGATCTTACTTTACCGATAACCATTGATACCTAGTACTTGTCCGGATCTGATCCTCAGGCCACCTAAATCGTATACTAATCCCGAGTAATCGTATCATGTGTGGACATGGTTAATGTACCTGAGGTTTCTTATATAATAAGGGTGGGAGCAAAGCAGGGGTTTCCGTCACAATAGATGAAATAGTGATTTTTGATATAAAAGAATAACCAAGATTAAAGATAGTCGAGAAATGAAGTACTAGACTTATATATTATATTATATATATTATCATATATTAATTTAATCTATAATCAAGAAATGAGGTATTAGATTTATATATTATAATATATATATATATTATTATATATCAATATCAATTTATAAATATTCTTTATATAATTATTTAGTCTATTGATTTATTTAAATTATTCGATCAATTATTCATTTTTTAAGATCCTTTTATAACCACCTCAGGGTGGATAATAATATTAATGCGATAAGCCAGACTAATTATTGAGTTATTAAACGTTAATGTATTCACTATATATAGATACTTTAACTTAGTCTAATCTCGTGATTTGATCTCGGATTGTTTTTCTTTAAGTTGAATGTACTGTGCTTTTAGTAGGGAAGAATGTATAGATTCGATTTGGATGTCTAATAATAAAAGGAAGTAGGTTATACTTGGAACATTGAAACATAGAATAATATAGTTGATTTTAAATTTAATTTAACAATAATTAATTTGCGAGTTTGAGCTTGGAGGATTAGGAGTGTATGTCAAGTGGTCGAGATGTAGTTCTAGTTGCTGTGATCAATAGTTTCTTATATGTAGTAACTTATCACTTTTATTATTATTGTTGTTGTTGATATTAGTATTTATTATTGTTATAAAAAAAGTTATATTATCAAGTCGCGGTCTAATCGTGGATGAATCATCACTTCCAACGCTCACACTTACATAGCTTTCTCAACGAGAAGTTTTAAAATATTGTTCTCTTTCATTTCAATGCTAAGTAATATAGTATATCACATTACAGGAGTTAAAAATCCTAGTTTTTGATGGTCTTTTTACGTCGGTGACCCGATGCTGGAGAGCCATGTCGACGTCCGCAACACCCTTTATATACAGTAACTCTTGCAGGAATTACATAAGCGTTTCCCGCCCAATAGGATCCACTTATCATAATGCTAAAAATTTGGGCTCTTACTTCAAAAAATGCTTTTTATGGACGTGAATTTAGTGTTTTGCTACAGTTTTATTTCAAAGTTTATGTTTCGACAGCTCAAAACTCCTGTCTGTCTGGTAATATATAACTCCATAAAGAGCATGAATGATCAAGCATCTCCGAAAGTTTTCTTCTCGTCTAATTGTAAATGTTGTTACTTATATAATTCCGCGGTCGTAGTTAACGTTATCAACTTTGCAGGTAAAAATCACTGTCACCATCTCGCTTCCGCCCTCGTCTAACAGCCAAGCACTTTTCTCGGTTAAGCATCTTGACCTTTCCCTGCGTCAGTCACAACTAAGCAATTGTCTGGCAGTCTCACCACCTAGCATTCAAACTTTGTTGATTTGCTTTGTAGCGTCAGGACTAGTTTGAAACAGTTCGAGTAGATTGAACGACACTTGGATCTTCTCCATTAGGGTTTTGTAGTTGAAAGATCCTTGATCCTTTTTATCTACAATTTCCTGGAGCTAATGTACTTTCTTTTTGTCTACTTTTCTTAATTTCGCTGATACAATGTATAATTTCTTGAATTCTTTGTTATTTTTATTATTATTCAAGATGTTATTAATCTCGATTCGTTAACGCTTATAGGGTTTATTTTTAGTTTCTAAAAAAGTACCCAGATTAAAACTCTTTTCTTCTTCGATTAATACTTCGATTGTAGAATCATTCTCTTATTCCTCAAATTTCTTCAATTCCTCAATTGAATAATGCTTCGAGTTAACCTCGATAGTATTGAATTCTATAGAGTCTTTAAGGATCTCTTTTATTTCAATATCAACAAGATTATTATTTGTATTGATTAGATTTGTATTTTTGAATATAGTTTGTCTAAAATATATTTGTTTTTACAATACAAGTAATTCATTAGAATATAAAATTTTCATATAACCAATCTCACCACACTCAATACATAGGAGCTGATGTCCGTCCCAAATTTTGTTGCGGGAAATCCTTGATTTTTGGAAGTCTTTATATAGTTCCCCCTAAGATTCATATTGGCTAACCCAGTATATCTGCTTACTACGCAGCGTAGAATCACAGTGTCGAAGAATCTGTTTATTTTTCTATAAAAGTATCTACTCAGTTCGTTTTATTTTCTTCATTATCTATAGTAGAAAGGTTCGCGATGTACAGCTAGGAGCTGATATCCTCGGGATTTTAATTGTACTTGCAATTGTTCAAAAAGAAATAGGAGGTTATTTGAATAATGTATTGAATGTTAATATATTAGTTTCTCAGTAGCTTTTTCAGTATAAATTTTGTTTATTGTTGTTCTATTTTCAAACTTTTGATTAATTTACTGTCTCTTTTTGCTATCCCTTTTCATTGTCGTTTTAAAATCTGCTCTTGAATTGAAAGTCATGACCTCTTATTCACAAAGCTCTTTATATTATAATATGGAATACTTTGATATATGCCCTATCGGGGTAGCGTCATCTCGGACTCGACGATGATAGATGTGTAAATATGACTCTTTTATTTAATTACAATGGTCTTTGTCTTAGACTTTGTTACCGTGAGGATTGTGTTTTTTGGATGCTTTATATATCCTTCCCTACCTTCGCAGGTGAGCCATGCTATAGCTAGTATTATAGTCAATCATGTTTGAGCCCTGCTATCAACCTGGACTTTCAATTCTTAAGTCAGTGAATTGTACTCTTATCTCATTGAGTCCATTAAACTTCCATTTCGTGTTTTTTCGATGTATAAATCACTGTACATAAGGACATCCTACATAGCCTTGCAAAAGTTGAATTCACAGACAGAGAAGTAGAGGACCACGATGTAGGTTGCACTATGGTATACAGCTCCTTACGCAGTAGCCTGATGAACGTAAGTTTATATGATTTCTAAGGGGTTTTTTTGGGCCTTTCTACGCATCTATTACAGTTGAGATTAGCAGTGTAGTCGAATTTATCAGGCTAACTCTCATATCATCTCTATTATCATCACTGAAATTAGCATTGTTATTAATAAATTAATTGACTGTCAAGCTTAAGATACATCTCTTTGCCCGTCTTACCCTCCATTAATTCCGCTGGTATAATACCCTAATATCCCCCAATATATCACACACAGCTCCAACCTCCGCATTATCCATGCCACTTCTTCTGGTTCTCTCGACCGTGTATTGTGAAAATGGTCAACAATCAGATTATTTTTAGGGCAAATAAATGCCACCATCCCAGTCTCCGCGCTTTCTCAGTCTAGAATTAGTTATTCACTCAATTTTTATCTATGATTGGTATATTGATTGGACCTGTTGAATTTTCACAGCAATAAATCCATAGGTTCATTTCCCAGACTTGGTAGTATACTTTTTTATTCCTCGATTCCACTTTAGATCTTATAAAAGGCGTCACTTGTACTTGTGTTAGAGCAATAATACATTTAGTAAAGCAATCATGACTCCTAACATGAATCTGATTTCAACCGGTGGCTTCTGTTCTTGTGTTTCTTTTCAATGTTTCAGAAATTCCTAAATATAACTTTTGCGATTTGATAAGAATTTACAATAATTGACAGGATAACCTATACTATTACACTAGATTAATCTTTCTCAAGGTGAGAAAAATGGATGACGAGCACTTTTGAGAATGAGAATAAGCGACAACGTGTTTGGGACAGATAACGGCAAAAATATTGGCGATAAACAAATGGAGACTAACATAGAACAGTCTTAACTCCAGCAGTAATAAATAAACTACAATCGAGTTTTCTAGTTAGAAACCCATTCTCTTTAACTTCCCCACAGTTTCGTATACGTACTGAGCAGCGCTCACATGCTTGTTCATTAGTCGTATTAGATCTTCGCCATAGTCATATCCACGATTAGTGCCTGGTTGGATACTGCCTCCGTCGTATCGACCTTCACGATACTTCCATCAGTAGCCATGGCCAGATAGATGCTTAAATATCCTCAAACCTTTTGATTTCCTTCTTCCCTTATATTCCTAGCCTCCGCTTAAATTGGGCTTTCTGATTCACTAAACACTCATATATAACATACTATTTTAATCATTCCATAAGAGCAGATGTCTTCAATTCAGTAGTGTTACCTTTTCATTACATTACAACCTCACTACGAAATCTCTCGCTTAAATCTTCTGCGTATACCATCCCTTATATATAATCTGTCCCCTCTACCTATTAACCTCCAAGAAACTGCATATCAATCATCTATGAGAAAGTTTTTGAAGCACTCTATAAGCAAACTTCAAACCTTCAACCCGAAGAAACTGAAATTAAGAAAATGATAAATTAAAACTTTCCAGAATGACGAGTGTATAGATATATTTACTACCACTGACAATAACCAGGCAAATATTTGACATTCTCACTACTGCACTTTCAAATTCTTATCATTATCAATTTCGAACTTTACAGCTTCTCTATACCCACCAATTTTCTCAACACAAACAACACTCTTTTTACTTTTACTTTTCTATCATCTTCCCGAGCTCAAAAAATGATCTATATCCAAACTTGACGAGCATTTTTGTCTCATAGAGTTGTAGTGTCTGAGAAGGTTGAAGATTGAATACTTGGACTTTTTGAGATGTATTTATAGAGATTTTATCTTGACTTTCTGTCTTTGTTCCTTGAATTATATACCTAATTCACGCATCGAAACGCCAGGTACGTCACAAGCCTATGTAGTTGATCATAAAGATCCACTGCGCCTCATTCCCACTACCATCTTATTCACTATTGCGTTCACTTTGGGTACCTCTTCCGGATCTATTTAAATTCCGTTCTTGCTAGTCACTCAGAACCCAAAAGTGTCTCCATGTACAGTGCAAGTCTCCCAAGCCCTCGTGCATTCTTGTGGTGGGAAGCTCGAAGTTCGGGTCTAAACTTTGAGAAAGAAAAGTTAGGGAGATATGTAGTATTAAACTAGTCATGGAATATACTGTTGTGGGATAGATACATGCTATCCCCGTAATCATCGGATGATAGTTGATATTCTTATGATTATCGTCTTGAATCGTCACTGTCACCTTAAACTATAATCAACCGTTTCACATCTCCTCTTCATTTCCATTTTCCACAATTCTTGAACGCCTTCCCCTACTTTTCCCTCCTCAAAAGTATATTTTATCTTCCCCTCCCGTCTCACAACCTGTTCACTATATAAAGCTATGACCTCTTTGATATTGGAAAAACACAGTGACCGAGAAGGAAAGGGGTTTATATATTATTGCTTCCACCCTTATTGCTTCTTCTCCGCTCTTGAGCTGACCATGATTCACCTATCATCCACACATACCAAAAATATAACATACTATTAATCCACATAAAGCTCAACAAAATCAGAGAATAGACCCGCATTTAGATTTTTCTCAAAACCTTGGAAGATATTACACTCTTAAACACTTATTCTATGACTGATCGGTATATATATGTCTTCATTGCTTTTACCCACATCACGCGTCATAAATCTAATTTCCTACCAACAAATTCTAATATCAACTATACCACTGAATTAACAAGCAACTATCTTCCTCACTAACCCTCTCTTTTCTGCGCAGTCCTCGCGAATACAATTTCATCTCGTATATTATTCGTCCCTAAAATAACTACTTCACCTTAAGCTTCCCACTTCCCACTTCCAATCTCCCAAACCATTCGCATCCTCCTCAAGTATTTCTATACGCCGAGAAAAACTTCTAGATGGAGGCCTTCCGTATACCTCCCTGAAAGCTTCAAATTTATTCGTACCTCTTTCCACCCCATATCCTAGTTTTAAAAGATATCATCAATCAGATTTAAGAAAATTGATATTCTACTCGACCATCTTAAAGCTTAACATCAAGAAAAAAAATAAAATTTATTTCTTTATTATATGCACTCCTTACACTCCTCACTCCTCACTCCTCACTCCACCACAATCCTCACATATCTCTCTCTTACATATACAAATACTTCCACCTTCTTTTTTCCTTATAAACCCAAAACCCAAACCACAGGAAATTGTGTCTGATGGCGAAGAAGCAAATCTCAGAGTGTTTCTGACCTAGTAATTAAAAGCTCGAGGATTTCCCTTTCTCGAGGAATTGGTTTTTGACAGGGAGATAAATTGTGATGATATTATAAAGTTTCATGTACACGATACTGCTATCGTGCTATGTTTTTATTACTGTTATATTCAGGACCGGGTATTAGTAGTAGTTATTCTTATTGATGAAATCTCAATATTATTAATCACCTCTTTCTCTTTCATATCTTCTCTATCACTAAAACCCTCGACTGATGGAAATATTTCATTCCCTTCCGACGATTCTCATCCATCTACCACCTTCTATCTATTACTGCTGTGAAATCTACATCCACCCAGAACCATTCTTCGGAAATGATTGAAGTTCTCTTATATTTAAAAAAGAAGTTATTTATTATTTATTATTTATTATTTATTATTTATTATTTATTATTTATTATTTATTATTTATTATTTATTATTTATTATTTATTATTTATTATTTATTATTTATTATTTATTATTTATTATTTATTATTTATTATTTATTATTTATTATTTATTATTTATTATTTATTATTTATTATTTATTATTTATTATTTATTATTTATTAATTTTCTCTCACCTCACCTCACCTCACCTTATCACTCGCTCACCTTACCCATCCCACTCCACCTAACACCACTCTATTCCACACAACAAATCCCACTCTACTCTACTCCTAGTCTCCCTACCCATTTTCCGACTACGAATACGCATACTAATACGAGTCCGAAAAACTAGAGTAGTGTAAGATTGATTTGATTTGATTGATTGATTGACTTACCAAACCAAAACCAGAACCAAAACCAAGAAATAAGGAATAGAAAATCTATATTCTTTTCACATCTCAAATAAAGTAATGTAATAAATAAGAATAGAAGGTTATAATATTACTATTAATCGTATCCTTTCTTTGCCCTTCGCTGTCTCATCTTCATCCATCCCATGGTCATCCTCATAGCATTCCATTTATCCTATTATCTCGCCGATTTCCTTGTCCTCATCTCTTTCGTTGAACTTAAGTTGAATATTGTCCTTTCCTTTCCTCTCCATTCCTTTTCATTATCTATCCGTCAATTCCACATGTCTACTCCCTTCACCAAATGAATTCTGCACTTGAAGTGAATGAGATCTCGCCATAATCCCGCCAACCCCCGACCAGCCATCTTGGCTTCTTATAAAATCTTTCATAATATACACACCCATCGCCCTCCATAATCTCCCTTATAGAAAAGTGCCCACTTTCCCTTTCCTATAAAAAGTTGCTCCCCGAAAGAATTATCCCAAATTTCCAATCAATACATAGAATGGTAGTCGTTGAAGAAGAATCCCAAATACTCATCGAAGAGTTGTGTGTGTGGTGTTCGTAATGTACATCCTCTCTCTTTCCTCTCATTTCTTTCATACGTTCATCCACTCCATTTCCACTTCTCACAATTCTTTCCCCTCAACGTTAACCTTATCCGCCTCAACCAATAGTTCTGCCGCCTTCCTACTTCTCTCATATCTTCCGGTAGTATCCCCAACCCAAACAGTCCCTAATATTCTATCCCAAAAAGTGAAGAAAGGTTGACTGAAATTTGTTTTAATTCCCCAACTTTGATGATGGATATCATGATATCCTGCGTTATTACTTGTGATATGTTGAAGAGGATCCCATGGAAGTGCATAACCACAATGATCATCTACAGTCTTAACGGTTGAAGCGACGAAAAATGCCATTCCTTGACGAGATGTCATGCCAGCAACTTTATAGCCGATTGATGCACCAAGAGTATCGAGGAGAAAACCTTCAAAGGGATGATTGTACAATGCTCCATAAGCATATGGAACATAGAGACGATGATGACGGGAGTGGAAAGTTGCTGTGAAGTCACAAGTTAGATTATTGTTTCACGTGAAGAGGTTCAGTAATGAAAACTCACTATACAGCCACTTATTCATATGCATAGCTCTATGCAAAAAGTATTGCCAAGTATCCACAATAGCAACTGCCAACCCAAATTGTATAACAGGTACGATGTACCAATATATCATCTTCGCAGCCCACATTTCCCATTTCGCAAAAGCCGGAATTTGTTGACCACTGACCATATCCAAACCATCGATTAAACCAGGATATTTACCACCAGCCAATACTCCAGCAACCATAGGCCAGTTCCCTGATACATTTTTCGATATTGCGGATGCATTAAGTCCAATTAGACTTAAAATGGAAGGTAAAGCTCTTTGTGCTATGCGTATTCTTCGCGCCCAATTCGCGATATCGAATTCAGTCTTTCCGGCCATTTCTTCTGGCTCAGTAAGACCTAGCACAGCTCCAACAATTGTTTGAATAACTTGTTGAATGATGACATCGCGAGCGACTTCGTAACGGGAGACATGATTGCGTTTGAGGATTTCTGCGGGTGTATGCAAGCGGTATTGAGGCCAAATGTCTAGAGTATCGATTAAATGGAAGGTGAGGGACACAATCCAGTATGCGGCAATTGGTAGAATGAGAGAGAGGTAGAAATCGGATATGTAAGGGATGAGTGGTTCAAGAGGAGTGAGAGTATAAGAAGGAAGTGGTGGAAGGTCGGACATTGTTGTTGTATTGATCGAGAGGGTGGTTAGGTTCGCCATTATGTCGAGATTATTGTATTGTAATTATTGTAGAATTGATTAAAATTGAGTAGCCAATTGATAGCTGCAGTTATCGTGTTGCTCACGAAAGGAATGTGTAATGTGTTGATGTATGGTCGAATATTGAAGTGGGTGGTTATGATAATAAGTATAAATGGGAAAGAGAGGATAAAGAAAGTTTGTAGTTGAGTGAGGGTGATGAAATAGGTAGAAAAGAGAAGAAAAAGGTAAATGGTAGGTAGGTAATTTGATAATGACTTCTTTTTCGGTCTTCTCTCACACTTTATTAATAAAAATCAATACCTCATCTCTTCTCTCTTCCTGGATCTTCCACTTTTCTTTTCAAAGATATTAAAAGGGATGCCACGCCTTTTAGTAGTTGTCGTAACTTTCTTACTTTCCATCAATAAGCGGGTAGTTGGAGTTGGGTAGTTGGGTTTACTTCATGGAAAAGCTCTTAATAATAGTAAGGATCCACGCCACATGAAAATCAGATGAGATTTTCTTTTCGATCGAACGAATTGAAAAGCCGATTCTTCCGAATTGGTATTATGTAATCATCGATGGATAGAGTACGTCCTGTACCTATCAATCAGCAGAGTCAGCACTCACTAGGTCGATGGTAATTTTATATTATTTAAAGCCATAAAAATGCTTGTAAGGAACCTTGGAAGTGAGAGTGGAAGGCTTACGGCTTACGGTTTACGGAGTATGAAAACAGTGGAAATCGGGTATCGGAAACTTCTTCATTCGAGATAAGATTTCAAGGATAACCTATCAGATGATTAGATTATGGAGTCAGCCAAAGCATCATGTTCATTTGAAGTGAAGGTTGTACTCCGCATTAGTACGAAAGCAACTTGATACTGGTTGAATCTTCATACAGACGAATAATGTACTGATTCGTTTGATATTTTTGTATGTTAGGATAGGATGGTCATGCAATAAATCTATAACAGCGGTCTAATTCTTATCTGATTGATTTTCAAGTCTGAGTGCAAAGGCCTGAATCTCCCGAGATTATACAGTGTTAACCGGATGGCATTTATCTTATCTATTAGGCATTTTGGAACAATTTCTGGATGGGATTTGCTTGCACGGAGTATATAAATCGAGGCTCAGTGAGGATAGAAATAGACATGATACTGTTTTATCCACCTTATCAATTCATGCTTTAAATCTATATCAATGGTAATTCTCATCTTATGAATGTACATTAATCTCTTCAATGTAATAAACGTAAAGAGACAAAAGCTCCGGCTACCTAGGTGTAAATGCTGTTTTCTCATCAAATAGTCTGCCTCCACGGCGGTGGTTCCCGAAAGGCCAGCTGAGCGTCGTCATTTCAGTTCACTTTTTGATTGATATAAATTGGGGCAAGATCACAAACCCCCTTTACTTCGCTGTGCTCGAACATTTTTGTTTGTTGGTGTGTTAATATCCATGGTTGTCAATGGAAGAATGCCAGCCGAATGAAAGATGCATGTGGTAGACATCGGTGTATGGAGATGAAATAAGTGAGCCTTGGCGGAATTTTTTGACCGCCTTTGTTGCCGCCGACCAAATCATTCTACCTGCAAAATTAATCCTTGTACCATACTCGAGAGGACCCCATCTCGCCAATACACATCCATACCATGGAGTGAAAGCTCACTCAGAGTACCTAAATAAAGTGAGAAAAGAAATGATAGAAAATCAAGCATCTTATGCTCAACCAATAATATTAATCATAGTACTGAATTGAAGGTCACCACAGGCCGTCAGATAGTTTTCAAGTCTGGTTTCAGTTCAATATCTGGCATTTTTCAATTTCCATCGAATTTTGCCTATGGGTTGATCTTAGGCTGACTAAGTTCTCCAAAACTACTAACACGCTAAACCTAATTCCGTTAACCTTCCCCTCCAAAGAATTTTCCCACTATCTTCCTTCATCAGAAACCATATCCCACAAACTTATCCCATACACACACAACACACCATCTATCTAATTTTATATCAAACCAAATCGTCAATATGATTATCTATAAAGTAAGTTCTAGCTTCATTTCTTTCTTCTAATACTTTAGCAGAATATTCTGAAAACTCGAAATTCGTTACATTATATGGAGAGGAAATATACAAGAAAGAAATCGAATGAATGAGAACTAATTTCTGAACTTTTATAGGATATTATCACCGGTGATGAGATCATCTCTGACTCATACGACTTGAAGGAGGTCGATGGTGTTGTCTACGAAGTTGACTGCAGCATGATCACTGTTGGCGCTGTCAGCGTTGGTACGTTCCAAAATTACCCCGCCCGAATTCGATTGAGTCTTCGAGACAATTTACAATGATAGAAGGATAACCATCTAACAATACTGGATTATAGACACTGGTGCCAACGCTTCTGCTGAAGAAGCTGATGAGGGTGTCGAAGATGGGGAACAAAAGGTCAAAGGATATTGTTAAATCTTTTCCGTCTCAACTCTACCTTCTTTGAATAAAGAAATCTTATCTCAGCCATCTTAAGGGGTATGTCCTTTACTCTTTATTCATATGTATCAGTAAAAGAATCGAGACTAAATGTTGATGTACAGGATACATGAAGGCTGTTAAGGAGAAGTTGAAGGCTGGAGGTGCCTCCGAAAGAGGAGGTTACCAAATTCGAGAAGGGTGCCGCTGCATACGCAAAGAAGATTGTTGGTGGTTTCAAGGATTACGATTTCTATGTTGGTGAATCTATGGATCCTGATGGAATGTATGTTTTTCCTTTCTTCTTTCTATACGTCATATGAAATCATATACTTACATATTTTTATAGGGTCGTTCTCATGAACTACCGTGAGGATGGTGTTACTCCATTCGTTACTGTCTGGAAGCATGGTCTTTCTGAGATGAAGGTTTAAGGGGATGCACATTAGGGATGTTGGGTAAGGGAATAAAACACGCGCTTTGGTGTAATCCACCATATGGACTCGCATCGTCCGACTCAATTTTTGAGAACTGAATGCTATCTACAATATCAAAATACAATGCATCTGAATGAAATGAGATGTTTCTTATGATATCTCAGGTGATGGTCAAATTGTGACACTACATTCTCATCCTGCTGGATGCCAGCAAATTTTCCCTATGTCCCCGTCTAATATCCTATTTCGGTGTTCATTGCTACTAGGTATATAGCAGGCTAGTACACTATATTGTATTAGGAAGGACGTTAACTACAAGGTTGACCTCGCTGACATGCATACATTGAACACTTCTTTCCGTCTACCTTGAGAAAAACAATCCATATATTCCCTGCTTTCCCAACCATATCGAATAAGTACTAGGTACGTACAATCGAATATTCACAGCATATATGATCTCGAGATCTCCTCTTCAGTCTCGAATACCGGAATGGGTATAAGGGATACTTCTTAGACTTTATACATACATATTGCGCTTTCAAGTGTTATTTGCTTTGATTTTGGATATGGGTTGTAGGGTTAGAGAATCCTTTTTTTCTTTTGGGGAGGGGTGGGGGTGATGGGGTGTTTGCTGGGGTTTTTGGGGTTGGAAGAGTGGAAGGGAGAGAGGGAGAAGAGGGGGAGGGGGAGGTTGGTGTGTAGAGAAAATCTTGGGAATGGTGGAGAAAATAAATGAATGAATGAATGAATGGGGGTGTATGGAATGTATTGTGTTATGTGGAGGATGGAGAATGGGGGATGGAGAATGGAGAGTGGAAAATGGGAAATGGAAAATGAAAAATAGAAGATACTAGGGAAGAATGAAATGAAGTAAAGTAATTTATGAATAAATTATTATTTATTACTTATATTCATATACAATTCGATGGATTTTTATTTTAGAGAATAATTAGATGGTAGATAGTGCGGAGTATCAATTCATAGTTTTTTTTTATGTATGATTTTGTTATTGTTTATAGGGGTTTGGGATTTGGTATGAACTGGATTTGTATTTGAAAGGGAAGGGAAGGAGAGATAGAGGGGTGTGATGAGGATTTTGAGGTGATGGTGATGAGATATGATTTGAGGATTGGGGAGTTGTATTGATGTTGATATTGATGTTGAGGTGGAAGGGAGGGAAAGGGAAAGGAAGGGGATTAGGGGGTTAGTGGGTTGTTAGTGGGTTGATTTATGTAGATTTGTGTATATATGTGTACTGCTCTTCAGGGCAAAGAGGGCGGAGAGGTGGGGTTTGTGGTGATTACCTATGTGTATTAGTGATTATGGTTTTCGGAGGTTCATGGGATGGATATATTCTAACTGGTTAGTAGAAGTAGTGGGAGTTTGTTTTACTTTGTCTAGGTCTTCGGTTTGGGCTTTTGTTGAATATTTGATTGATATGTGAGATAGATTTTGGAGTGATGGTTATGTTTTATGTGGTAGGTGGGCAGTGTTTGATCTTAAATCTTATGGGTGGTTTGCTGCTGTTTTGGAGTGGCGTTTACTGTTCCACGGGGATGTGAGGTGGTAAGATGGTATGTTAGGTTATCCGAGGTTAAGGTTATATGTGGTTTATGAATAGATGTATTGGGCATAGGAGTAGATGATTTCGATTGAGATCCTTTTTTCTAGAGATATTAGAGAATGCTCTTGATTTTTATGCGAGCGATCGATAGATGGAATGGCTGAACATGATCTTGAAGTATCTAGTATTATGTTTGGGCTCGAGAAAATAGTTTAATAATACCTAGTACCTAGCTTAAGGATTCCGGTATATTTAACCTGAGCATATAAATAAACGATGTTTTTTTGACGGGAAGGTATGACTCGATATATAGAAGGAAAAGAATTCTTATGGGTGGGTGGTATTACTAACTTCTTTAACATGACGATACGCGATCGGTCTATTCTGGCTGTATTATTGAAAGGTACAATTGTTGCTTGATTGTGCTGTTGGATAGGTACTAGTATACTAATTGATAGGATAACTCTTCTATTGAGGAAGATATCTGATATAATAAGTCTTACTACATATTACTACTAGGTAGAGGAGAAGGAATCTAGCAAGCCAAGCGATGTTGGGTTCAGTTGGGATATAATCTTCTTCTTGGTATATGAACTATGTAGTTGATGAAAATCCTAAGTAATCCCAAGCAAAGTCGACTTCCACTACCTCTTCCTAAATATGATGATCATTTGACTGTAAAGCTGCGGACCAAATACTGTACTCCGTATATAGACAATACAAGGTGAATATTGATTGGATATCTATTCTTTGAGAACCTCGTGTTACACTTTTGCTTTGCCTCATTCATTTCCTTCAATAGTAGGTATGAACAAACAACTCAGAAAAAGGTAAATAGAAAGAAAGAAAGATATGAAAATCCCAAAATGAAAATATCCCCGCCCTCAAGAAGTAGCCTCAAAAAATCAACGACCCGGGGAAGATTCGAACTCCCAATCTCCAGAGAATTCAAACCGAAATCTGGCGCCTTAACCATTAGGCCACCGGGCCTCGTGTTGTTCATTGTTTGATGAATATGATGGCTTGCGTTGATTATATTTGATCTTGCTCAATGAAATGGATGGGATGGAATGTTGTACTACGATACGATTCTGCATCATGATGGCGTGGAAATATGATATTCGGAGTTTCGGGAATAAGCGACCGTTTGAACTATGACATACCTACGATACTAGGTAGCTAGTAGGTTTGTAATACAATTCATATCCTACCTAGGTAATCAGTATTGCGCTGGTAGAAATGAGAGATAAATCGAATTTTGTAAATAGCTTCATTAAAAAGTAGTAAAATAAATCTCATTCTACAAGAAATTTCTTCAATCCCAAGAGTTAGGTTATCCGATGGATATTGCATAAAACTATGACAATTTGGAACTAGCGAACAAGCTAACCTACCGGTAACCTACGCAGTACATGGTTAGAACATGAGGCTAAATAACTCCCCGCAACCATTTCCCCTAGAACATCATTTAATATTCTACACATCACATCACAATGTCGGGATTTAAGGATACTTTGAAAAGTGGATGGCATCCAAAAGGTAAAGATGGAAAATCTAAGGAAAGTTGGAGAGGAGATTTTAAGGGACTTAATCAAGTAGCTGGATGGTAGGTTTATCCCCTTTTCCAAACGAAACGGATGAGTTTAGAACTCAGGGTATACTGTATTTCTTGAACTAATATTCAATTCAATAGGGTGGGAAAAGGTAAAGATCCAAGAGAAGAAGCTCTAGAACATCAATCCAGACCATTATCATCACTAAAAGATCCTGCATCATTTGGTCCACCGCCAAAAAGTGTTAAATACCATGGAGCTGCGGCTTTACCACCTCCAACGAATCTATCGAGTCAAACGAGATCAGATGCAGGAGGATGGGGAGCTCCAATACCACAAAGTGAAATAAGAGCAAAAGAAGAGGCGGAAGAGGAAGAAAGGAGAAGACAAGAAGAAGAAGCGGCGAAACCTAAACCACCACCGATGCCATATCGTGCGAATAAAACGGGATTATCTATAGCACATTTACCGCCACCTCCTGGAAGAAAAGATGGTGCAGATGGTAGAGCACCTGCTATGAATTCTATAGCTGGTACATCACAACCTCCTAGTTTACCACCTAGATTACCACCACGTCAAAATTCTAATCCATCATCATCGGCACCTTCACCTCCTCCTACATACGACGCGGCTACTTCGGATGCGGATCCACATAACGGTGTATTGAATCAAGGAGCATTGAGTAGATTAGGAGCAGCAGGAATATCAGTACCTGGATTTGGAATTGGATCTACAAAATCTAAACCAGCATTACCACCACCTGCACCAACACGAAGTTCAACAAATTCATCACCTCCACCTCCTCCCGCGAGAACATCTTCACCACAAATACCCGCAAGAACTTCATCACCACAATTAAACGAACTTCAATCTCGATTTTCTAGACTTACATCCTCATCATCATTAACCTCTTCATCTCCCAAACCCTCAGCTCCAACCGAAGGAACAACCTTTGCACAAAAACAAGCCGCCCTAAAAACAGCATCAGCATTCCACAAAGATCCAACATCAATCTCCTTATCCGATGCTCGAAGCGCCGCAAGCACCGCCAATAATTTCAGAGAAAGACACGGAGAACAAGTAAAATCCGGATGGGCATCTGCGAATAAATTAAATACAAAATATGGAATTGCGGATAAAGTTGGAACATATGGAGCGCTTGCACAAGGAAGCGATGCTTCACCTGGTAGAAATGATGGAACGGTGGAACATTCATCTAGTTCGGTTGGAAATGGTTTATCTGGATTAAATGTACAATCCGTTTTGGGGAAAAAGAAACCGGCGCCTCCGCCTCCTCCTAAGAAGAGGTCGGATTTGGGTACTCCTGGAAATGCAACTCCGCCGCCTATTCCTAAGGCGACTAAACCTAAGCCTTTGGTTAGTGGTTGATATTCTTAGTTATATAATTAATACTTTTATCTGTTAAAAGGAATGACCTCACATAGGGAATAGTGGGAAGCTGATAGGGCAGAACTGAGGTAATATTGGTCTAGTAGGTTAATCTCTCTTCTAAGTTCTACGGAAGTGCGAAGCTCTCTTACAGAGAGCTTCTCAATCTAGTCCTAATAGGACTAGTGCCCTGTGCACGTGCTACGCAGGAACCATTCACTTTAACATTATCCTGTATTTTTGAATGAGGGGATTTATTCATGCATCTTTTTCTGAATGTTGGAACTTTTTGTTTTTGTAGGATAGATTTATATAGAAATACAGGTTGTTGAACTATATGTCTTTTCTAAAAGTATAATATTATAAAGATCTTATATAATGTATTTTTCAAGTAGTCTTTTTAAGACGTACGGGGTAACGATATAAGATTACTCGTTTCTTAGAAATAATCTAAATAGATTGTAATTTATTTTTTAAATAAATATATTTAAAACTTTTATTATTATTATTATTATTATTATTATTATTATTATTATTATTATTATTATTATTATTATTATTATTATTATTATTTAATGTGACGGAAATCCCTGCTTTCCTCCCACCTTTATTATATAAGAAACCTCAGGTACATTAACCATGTCCACACATGATACGATTACTCGAGATTAGTATGCGATTTAGGTGACCTGAGGATCAGATCCGGACAAGTACTCGGTATCAATGGTTATCGGTAAAGTAAGATCATTGGAGGAATAAATATGACTTCTTTTTGCCTAGCCATTGCGGCTAGGCCATTCATTTGTGTATATATAGAGTAGCTATCCCCATCTACAGGTGCTCTTCACCTGTAGATTCTAAGTTAAATACAATTGCTGGTCTATAAACACCCTTTTGGTCACATTTAATTATATTTCTAATTTAAAATTAGCTCTTTATAAATCTCTTCAACAATCTCTCTCCCTTATCCCCTCAGCTCTGTTATATAATTATAATATTAATTAATGAATTTGATTCAATATAATTAAAATTTATTTATATATTTTTAAAAGGTAAAAGTATTTCAAGAAAATTAAAATTTGGGAAATTTGGGAAATTATATTTGGATTTTTATTTTAGTAGAATAAATATTTAAATATATAAAAATCAAATAGAAGAATAATATATAATATAAACTACAGCTAGCTGATTAAATAATTGAAATATAAAATGTTTGGCGGGAGTGAGTGTAACGATACTGTACTAAAGGCAGCGGCTGCCTAAGGTTCGTCGGTTGGTAGTTATAGGTTAAGGCTTTATCACTGGTATTCACTTGAAAGTGAATTCGTTACTAGATCAAATAGAATGTAGGTAAACTAATTGATAACTAAGTTGAGCACGAAGCTCCTAGGGCTCTTTATCACGTGATTTCTGATGGTGCGTGCATATACGATCTTCAGGTGACCAAGATCACATACTAATTCGATGAAATCTGATCGTGTTTGCACAAGGCCTAAGCTCTCCTAATTAATCAGTTTGCTACCATCGTAACACCATCAATCCTAATGGTGAATCGTGACAGTGAGCTGGTTGAAGGATTATGATTTGTTGTAATATTTGATCTTATTGTTGTTGTGTTGAAATATGAGGATATTAGGGTATTGGAGTAGGGTTTTTAATGTCGGGTTACTTGTTGGGATTGTGGTATTGTCGTGTCAATAACACAATGTCCACTTCTATAGAAGAAGATTTCTTTATGTTGTCATTGCGTTTTATTAAAGATGATTAGCTCTTCTATGTCATCGTTGTCACTTGTTAGACTCATCAATTCTTGTTCTCCTCCTATATATACGCACACCCCTATAATTACTCCTATTAATATACTCCTAACATGAGTATATATACACAAGGGACTTTTGGGATACCTTTTCCTGCCGGTCTATTCAGCTTTGTATGTACGTGTAGACAAAATCATGCATTTGTCCGAGAAGAAAATTGATAGTCTGGATGCGTGTTTATATATTGGTTTTCAAGGCTCTAGTTCCGTATTTACTATACGCTGGGCTGGAAGTACAGTAATATAGATCATGCGATTTAATACCCCCGGTTTACTATATTTGGACATCTTTCTCTTTTCCTTTACAAAACATCTAAAGGGTATAAAATATCTCTTATCTCGCCTCCTTACACTTCCCAAGAAATAGGACATTGGCAAGTCCAACTTCTAGTTATTAGCAGCTCATACTCATGCCTTCAATAACTGTCTGATGAGGCGCCAAGTGCTAGTATTTCTATACCTGTAGTCACTCTGCTGTGAATGGATATGTTCATCTTTCCAACGTCATCTCCTCAAAAGGGAATATCGGAAAAACAGGAAAGATAGAAACAAAACTTCAAATCCCAAAATATCTTCATCATTATCCTTCAATGCATTATTACTGGCACTCTAGATATACTACCCCATCACCCAAGTTTCGTCCCAACCAACTAACCCACTCTCACAAAGGACCTCCGGGCATTTTACGCAAATATATGAATGGAGTAAAAGATTTTCTAGTAGCCTCGCTGAATCCCTAAACCAAAAGGTCCTTACCGTCTTCGAATGTCTTGATTGAAGGGGTTTAGTTATTGGCGTCTTTATATAATGATGTGGGCTAGAAAACCCTCAAGTCGTTTCGACTGCCCCGCGAACCAGAACCTTGACATCAAGGTCAAGATTCACTACATTATTCGAGGTCAATTTATCTTAGATATATGTATGTTATATTTCCAGCCAACACTACTCCGCCAACACATACTTCAACAAAAGATATTGAGGCTGTAAAAAACTTTTTAAGACCATCTCAGTTTTAGGGCGCGTACTCATAACTTAGCGGGCAGTATTTTTAGATAGTAGTAGTAGTAGCATTTTATCTTTGATAGTTTCCAGGACCGTTCTATACTGCTTTCTGAATCCGTAACTCAGTTTCCGGAATTTCCAGACGTGCAACAAACCCTTTCACGAGATTCAAATAGAGGGGGGAGGAGGGCATTTGGCTGTAAAGGTTATTCAAATTGGCTCCAAGACTTGTGAAACACTTGGGCCGGGAGTGTTATCCTATGGACGAGGATAGGGACTTCGATGGCTTTGAGAGATTGAATGCTCCGAGAAGAAGTATAAAGTGTGTTTATTTTAGTTAAAAAATAATGAAACATACCTTGCAACTATCGATCAATAGGAGTTGTGACTTAAAATGTTGAACTTTTTGCTACTATGTATCCGAATTGTCAATTGATTGTAGCTTGCATTGGTTAAACAATCCACGTCTTGCACCTTCCGTGGGTTTGCGCAGCTGCTAAAGCTGATACAGTTTACGTATCCAAAATAGACTACACAAAAATATACAGAGAGAAGGTTTCATCCTCCTTGCTATTGCCTAATTGGAGATAATTGCACCCATCTTACCTAGGCCTGGATACTAGCTACTTAGATTTGCCGTAGTTCCATTAACAGTAGTTTATAGGTCACTGTATTTAGTATGTGTATCAAATTGCATCCTGTGCGGGAAGTAGCGCTGAATATCAAAACTTCGAGTTTTCTATATTCACTCATTTTTCAAAAAGCTTTGTTGCATATGTAGAAAATAAAATGTTCTCGAAAGTACTTTTGAGGACTTCGAGAGCAAGAGACTTTACATATGATATTCGGATGAGATATGCAACAAATTTTATTCTCTTTGGGGGAGGGTACTAACATAATATGCTGCAGTCAAGAAGTACTTTCTAGCACTCTTCTCTAAAAGCTCTCTTTCATCATTTTCTAACATCATTTCTTTTAACCTTTGGTTGGATATGCAGCAAAGTATTAGAAAAATTATCTGTGTGATCCTCCAACAGGCTGGAAATGAGATGTGTAATAGTACCTCTAGCCAGTGACAGATAATATAAAGGTTTTGACGCTCCATCCTACCACCAAAGTCTTTCTTATTGCCTATAGGCATTAACCTCAGACATGCAACAAAAAAAATTAGAAGAGCCACGTGCTTGATGTTCTACCTATATATACCAAGTAAGTGTGAATAGTAAACATACGATTGATATATTTCTAAGAATATCAATACGGCTGAGAAGCTCAAAGAGAAGAGCTGAGCAGACATGCAAACTAATCTTTGCCGTATATATCATCAGATAAAAGTTTCGACACACTAAATGCACATGAAAACACCGACAGTTAGAGAACGAAGTAAATCCCGACGTGAGCGCTGCGGATGATCAATCACCAGAATCCGTCACAAATCCAGAGCAGCTAGAAAGTACTGTTTGAGACGTGCAGCGAAACTCCTCCGTAGTGTCGCAAAATACCTAGTAGCTCCAGTAGATTTCCTGAGTCTATCCTGTCAAGAAATGAGCATAAGAGCTTCAACTCCTAGACCTGATGAGAACAGCGCAGGCAAGAGCTACTTAGCTGTGTCATAGTCTTGTGCCGTAGACTGTGGGAAATCCCCACCGCGAAAAAGGATGTGATCAAAAATCACTTCTTCAGATATGCAACAAGTCTGATGTGAGTCCAGTGCATCGTGTTTCAACTACGATTTCACTGATGTAGAATATAGGTGATACGCTCATATTAAGCTAGGAGACGAAGCCCCTGTCCCTGTGGCCTAGACAGCAATTAGAAAAAATAGAGGCGAGTTCCTAAGCATTTCAAAAGTACTTTCCAAGACAAAAGGTTTTTTGTAGATATGCAACAAAACTTTCCAATCGCTATCTAGCTAACTCGAAATCAAATATCTTCTATTACGGATCGTATAAGGAGTTCATATTTCGCCAGGATATATATAGATCTCCTCTAAAGTCATTTCTACAATAAAAATATACTTGATCAATTATCGATTTTCCTAAGCACTTCAAAAGTATTCCAAGACAAAAAGCTTTTATAGATACGCAACAAAAGATTCTGAATATTATTTCCTTACTATCTTAAATTGAAGATCTCCAGGGAGAGTCCACGTGAGAAGCTCAAATCCCGCCATGAGACTAGTAATCTGTCTCTGCGTCCAATTCTACAGTGAAAACTTAAGGGGAAAATTGATCAAAATCAAGGGCAACTGGAAGTACTTTTCAAGACCATAGATCTTTTTATCATTATCAGACATGCAACAAAACTTTTGTATTCATCTAACGACCTAAAATCCAATATATCACAGCAGGAACGATGTCGACGGCTCGTGTTCTTACAGAATACATATAGCTTGTCTCTCTATACGATACTGTTATAAAAACAAAATCCATTAAAATCGGGGTCAGTTGGAAAGTACTTTCCATGATTCCTAGATGTGCAACAAAACTTTTGGGTGCAGCCGACCAAGATAGAAACATTGATTAATAAGTCCTCGAAATCTAGGTAAAAAGAAGCTCACACTCGATTATAATGCATATATATACCTGAGTAGTCTGCAAGGTCATCCACCTATTCAGCATACAAAACCCTGGAGCAAAAACTTACGCCTTGAAAAGTACTTTTTGTCCACCCAGATATTCAAACAATTCTCTTGGCAACCTAGGTATAGGCTTAAGTCGACTATTTGAAATTGAAAGTAGACTAACTCCTTGTGAAAAGCATTCAAGAAGCTCAAATTCAGGCAGGAAATAAGAAATTTGTCTCTGCAGCTATCCAGCTACTTGACACATAGAATATGTTTGGGGAAAAATTGAACCTCTCAAAAAGTACTTCTGTCAAACTCAGATGTGCAACAAGACTTTTCAATTTTTCCTATTGAATTCTCCTCTGACCACCTTGAGAGAGTATGAGATATTGTACGACAAATATGGAATCCTGAAGGATAACCACCAAGGTATGACATCTAGGCGCTGATGTCGAGAGGCATACGCAAATACCGCCTTAATCAAAGGGGTGAGTATACATGAAATTGATCCTAGTAGATCGAAATAAGATGTTTTTATGGCGATTTGCTGGAAAGGACTCAGTTGTCTGCCTTCAGATCATAAATGAGTGCCATCTCAAAGCAAGGATTTCTGCTTGAACCTGGAATATTGGTTTCATCTTGGAGGTCTACTCGGAGCTGCAGGAATGCTTTCACCGGAGCGAATGTCAGAGACATTTGTAAGTCTGGAAGGCTTCTCCATGTGGTTTTTTCAAGTACAATAGTAACTCATCGGATAGATTCATAACACCGAAACAGTCGTGCGCGTGGTTTGTGCTGATTACTTCTCGCTTGAGAGCGACAAGCACTCGAAGAATGGAATAAATGCATCTTTTCCAATAATTGCGTAATTTTCATTGATATACAAGGAAAGTATATTATTCGGCGATATGTCGAAGTAAGATTCTAGCTTATTTGGCCATCGGCATAGGATATAACACTTGTAGTATACATACCGCCAAGAGAGTAGTATCGGACGGAGCATTAAAGGTAGGGTTGTGGATAAAGCAGTCACTTAGACAGATCGCCATATACTCATACTCCGATGGTAATCTAGATACCTCGGAAAAGTCAAGGTATATCTCAAATAAATGATGTCTTTATTTCCCGCGAAAGAGCCTAGGTCTTGGTACCACGGATGATTCTGGCCGATGGGCAAAAGAAAGACGAACTATATATTCTTTTTTTTTCTAAAAGATTTCTAAGTGTTCCCAAAAGGGTACAAATGGTCGGGATTTAATATCGACAGGCTCTCTTTGACATTTCGTGGCGTTTGTTTGTACAAGTGCTGGTGATTTTGCATTTTGTTGCATATCTGAAAGTTGGCCGGAATTATTGGAACGGAGATGAATCGCTGAGTTGAGCTTGGTAGTGTCCGAAGTACGACAGTCTTATAAAATTTTGTGGTAGAATAAAGGGTAATGTAATTCTAGATCACTGGTGAAACTTGTGTGCTGGCCGCCGGAGAATGCTGAACGTTGTGGTTATTCAGTTAGCCATGTGGTTACAACATGAGATCAAGTTGTACAGCAGTACACAGAATAGTAAATCATTGACATATCGCGTTCACGATGGGAAGTTGTGAAATTGGCTAAAACCGGGTAAATAATGCAGATGTCGGACTTTTATAGATTTTGCTGAAAAATCATACTTTATATGCCCAAAATACATCCCTAGACATTTGGGAATGACGTGAAGACTAGACGGAAAATGCATCTTAGGAACTACTCTGTACACCATACTTCTAAAAAGTGCCAAGTCTTGATAAGACGTGAAAGGACAGTTGCACCTGAATTCCGTTTCTTTCGCGATGGATGCATCACTTCACTAACTTGTCGACATCTGCGTTGATCAGCCCTTGGTAGCTACACAAAATGCATATTGAACGTGGCGATTGATGTACGGAGGTCTATAATAATGACCTGGACCTGTAGGCAGCCCAGTGCATTATCGTACCAGTATATCGAGATTCGCATCGCAGCACAACGCGCTGTATCATGCAACTGTGCTTCGGCATGATATAGCTTCACTTGTGCATCGTTGCCATTCATGTACTCGTATTCCTGAAATTTCTCCTCGCTTTTGACAAGATTCCCCGTATCTAGCCGTTTAGTTATCTAGCTAAGTCGGATCGAAATGTTTTGAATGCCATCATCGTGGTGTCAGACCTTAGGCCTAGGTAATTTTCGTCCAGAAATGGTACCAATGAAGCCATTGAAATTTGCATCAAGACTTCTTGAGAATGCAAAAATAGGTCCGTTAGCCTTTCAATTGTCGATGCGATAAAATAGAAACAAGATGAATAATCCAAAAAACGAACCCAGGTTACTCGACTAGATATACTTTATTATCATAGGAGTTTATAATTTATCGTTTTAACATGAAGCAATCGATATGCTTTGTTTAACCTTATCTTCGACTCTTTGAGATGAAATCTTGATAAACAATAAACGTGTGAAGCGAAATCGGAGTCAGAGCACCAAAAATAAATAATGTGAGGTTCCCGCAAAGACAGCTCAAAAGACACAGTCCACCGATTCCATGGCTTTATGAATCTGCAAGTGGGTTACTATTGATTATTCGGATCCGAATCCATTTTGCCCTCGACATTGTTTGTCGTGAGGTCTTATATCAACCCTCAATTCCACCTTCCCCAAGACAATACCGTTACTCAAGGACCGAAACGATGTCTGCCTCTCTCCCAGGCAATCGAGAATTACCTGCTTCTCAGTATGATCTCAGCACATACTGGGGACGGGTAATGCACTCTGCGGCCATTTCAGACCCTAGGTGAGGAGGAATTTATTGTGTGTTTTCACCAAAAAGGTGCTCACACTTTCTTTCGCAAACACTTTCTCGAGCCATCGTGGAGTATGCAACATCTTATACTGACCGTGGAATAGAACATTGTTAGTCAATAGTGCCGGATTGGAGCATGCGAAGAGTCTTATCTCGAGTTATAAACAGGGGAAGATCCAAGAGATGACTCCGGAATTATGGAATGCGAAAAAGATAGTCGATTCAACATTACATCCGGGTATGTGAGAATCTGCGAGAATACTGGATGGAAAGCTCATGTTATTAGATACTGGAACACCAGTTTTCCTCCCCTTTCGAATGTCATGTTTCGTTTTATCAAACTTGGTAGTCACAGCAGGAATGCTTACACCAGGATTGGGAGTAAGTCTTTCTCAAAAATTCAACAATAATATTATGTTGTTGACACTTGGCAGACGACAGGAACACTGTTATGGCAAATTACGAATCAATCCCTTAATGTGGCTATCAATAATGCCAATGCCAATAAATCTACTCCTCTTTCGACCTCAAAAATTGCACAATCATACTTTCTCGCAGTTGGAGCTTCATGCTCGGTTGCACTTGGTCTCAATGCCCTCGTTCCAAGATTAAAGAAAGTAAGCCCAGGCACGAAGATGATCCTTGGAAGATTAGTACCATTCGCCGCTGTTGCAAGTGCTGGAGCATTGAATGTTTTCTTGATGCGAGGGGAAGAAATCAGAAAGGGCATTGATGTCTACCCGGTTCTATCAGAATCGGATAAGGCTAAACTTGCAGCAGAGGGCAAATCTGAATCCGAGGTTGCTTCGTTAGGCAAGAGCAAAAAAGCAGCCACTATTGCAGTCTCGGAAACGGCTATAAGTCGAGTATTGAACAGCTCTCCAATTATGGTTATTCCAGCTTTAATTTTGGTGAGGTTACAAAAGAAGCAGTTTCTCATAAGAAACCCTAGACTCACATTGCCAATCAACTTGGGTCTCATTCTTGGCACTAGTCTATTCGCTTTACCTTTAGCTCTAGCAGCCTTCCCTCAACGCCAAAGCGTAGATGCATCAAAGTTAGAGGAGGAGTTCTGGGGCAAAGGTGGAGAAGATGGAAAGGTGGTTTTCAACAGAGGAATATGAAGGATTCTATAAATTATACCCGGTACATACATAACATGGAGGACTCGACGGTCATATTTCCATAGGCATGATTCAGCTTTATCAACCACTATCTCCCAAATGTCCAACATGCGGCTCGAGTTCTATTTGTGCCCAACCAAAAGACCGACTTCCAGAATATTGATTAAAGCATAGACCATGGCGTTCATGGCTACTTTTACAAAGGAATAGAAATGCCATATACATATAGAGGATCTCAGCCGCGGCTGTTTCATTTTTCGCTTCTCACCCCCTTCATGACGTGACCCTTGCCACGTGATCACGAACCTAAAATCCACGGGACCACCCCCTTGTTGGGCGATCACATTCGTGCGCGATGAGCACGGATTCTATAAATGTATTGCAGTGGTTCTTACCTGGAACTGTCTAGACTCTCGTACGAAACGTATATGAATACAGTAGCTTTTTCTCCTTGCGTACAGTACACATCACGGAAAATGAATCTACACTAACGTTGCAATGATTATCCCTCCATACCTCGCCTACTAAAATCGCCACTTGAGATAAAGACCATTGAGGGGTTATTTATCAATCGGGTGAATGAAGAACAATAAGGATGAAATTTTATTGGCAACTTGCAGAATTGGAGTAAGAGGGATTTTGTGCCACATTATAACACATGGAAACCATATCTAGAGTAGATACCTAGTAATTGTTAGGAAAATATCAAAGAGTAAGAAACACTGCTTTCAAACAACTTCTACTAAAGGTTTACGGACTTATTTGATCTTGAGGACTTGATTAATTTTGTAGGTATACTAAAACTGTTACAGTTGGTTTCTTGGGTTGAGTCCTGGGCAATGGGTTGTTTTCTTTGTGAAGCATGATGACAGGACTTTTATTCATCTATTGATGGATGATTGACCATGCATGCATCCCTCCATCCATCAATTGCAACTCATCAATGTAAGAAAAACAGGGTTGGTTACACCGATAAAGGATTGGCCAACTTGAATGAATGGAAAGACTTTTGGATGAATGTGAGGAGGGCCACCGACTCTTTTTGAAGTATTCGAATGTGATGTGACTGATGTGATGAGTATGCTCGGGGTAAGGTGGTAAGAGGGTAAGATGGGTAAGACTATTCGTGGCATGTAGAAAGGCTTGCAGGAAGTACGTACCTAGCATATATGGCAGCTATCCTGTCCATACATGATACCAGATGTGTATACAGGGGAAATGGCGAATAAGAGCTTCTCATCTTCCCTTGGTCGTATAAGTCTCTTGGAATAAAAGCTTTCGAGTCGAGGAATCACTATGAGGGGAAGTTGAAATAGACTGGCTACTCTTTGAAGGTTGTTGTCATCAACCAACTTTGGAGCGTGGAGATACCTATTGGATATCAAACAGAGTGAATGATAAAAATAATCACCTGTTTATCTATCTGTCTGGGAGGATATCCGTAAACAGACATTTTCCTTTGATCAGTTCATTGGATAGTAGTCATAATAATAATAATTCATTGGATAATTCAATATATGATATTTTTGCGTGGTAAAGGAAGAGGATGAAAAGAAGAGGGAAAAGACCCTGAGCATTGTTTATCTATGTATCTCTCCATTTATTTAAGAATTGAGATACAAGTTATACAAGTTCGAATCACCCTACACGGTCGGCAGCTTTTATCCTAAAATCCGTCAAATTAAGTTGCAAGTCTTACAGTACCGACCAACCTACCTAGTGATGTGATAGTGGAAACAAACCAAAGAATTCACAATGATCAACTCTAAAATCTACTAATAAATCTACTAAATCTACCAAAATCTACTCTACCTCCATCTCACTAGTCAGTCATAAGCGACCTTGGACGACCCTCAAGAAACCCCAGCACCATCAAGTTTGGAAAAAACAGAAGAGATTCTTATTCCTAATTCTCTCCCAGCAACAACTTTATTAAAAGATATTCAAACAATATCTTCTCGTATTTGGAAATTCAACACCTCGAATCTACCTAATAAGTCAATATAATCAACTTTCTGTCGAGAAATGTCGCGTATTTGAACATTTCTAACTCAGCGCGATACGGTCGGAAAGATTAGAAAGAATTACCTTTGACCTCATCCCCATCCACTTCCAACGTCAACTGTCGACTCCTTCTTCATCATCGCGCAATTATTCCCCATTACGGCATCCAAACCATACTCTACTGCTTGAGACTCGATGGTCCATCGTCTTTGATCTCGAGAATTCACACTAATACTTCGAATACTTCAATAAATCGGGACGTGATAAGTCTAAGCCCACCTTAGGGTCGAAACGATCACTCCTTGCAATTGTGCCATGTCGACTCCATCGACTTTACCTCCCCATCATCCTAATTACGGATACTCCCATCATCAGAATTATCAGTCAAACAATCCATATCGAGCGAGCAATAGTCTGTTGAACGGCAGTAGTCGTTTGGGCGCCTCGTACACCATTCCGACTCACTCGTCGAGTAATAGCACATCTTCGAGTGTAGCTCCTCCAAAGACACATCAACTTCCCTCACATCCGGCAAAGACGAAATCTACATCTACAAACTCTCCAAGAAAGCCCGCAGTCATGGTTTCCTCCTCGTCGCATGTGCCTCCCCCACACAAGAGACAGAGATCAAAGGAGAGACAACCAGATTGGGATAAGTTCTACGAGAATGGTTTACCTAAAGAGGTAATCGTAATTGATAGTTCTGAATCACCAGAACCATCCTTGGACATTTCTTCGCATCTTCAAGCGAATAATTCCGCAGTGGCAGTGAATAGTCGACATGCGGCGAAGAAGAGAAAACGCAATGATGCATATGATCCCGTATACCAACTCGATCCCTCGATCGATCCGAGTCCACTATACAAATCAGAATCTGGTTCCACCATATCAACCGATCGCACAACATCAGCAATTCATACGACCGCAGCTACTTCCCTTGGCTCACACTCATCCAATGGGCAAAATGGTTACGAGGCCGCTGAAATCATAGGGCAGAAAAGAAAAAGAACAAACACTAGGTTGCAAATTGCCAATGAAGCCAAGCGGAAAGAACTAGAAGTCAATGGGGACGCATTTAGCAATTACATACCGCCCCCTAAACCACCCATAAAATCTCGCGATGTTCCAGTAAGACCTGTTACAGATGTAAGTCTCGATGGTTCCACAGTTGTGATCGAAAGCTAACATAGACGAAGAACTCTTATACCAAGAATACCAAAGTCGATGATGAAGATGGACATTACATTGTTGTTCCAGAAACGAACTTGACCACACAATGTAAGTTGCGGTGGGACAATCCATTAGCCTGCCACAAACTAACATGCAAAAACAGACTCGGTCCAGAAACTACTCGGCCAGGGAACTTTTGGAAAAGTCGTACAAGCTAAAGATCTTCATAATGACAAACTTGTTGCCATCAAGATCATTCGATCCGTGCAGAAATACCGAGATGCTTCGAAGATTGAATTACGAGTCCTATCAACACTCAAAGCAAATGATCACGAGAACCGAAATAGATGTATACATCTACGGGATTGCTTCGATTACAGAGGGCACATATGTATAGTCATGGATCTACTAGGACAGAGTGTTTTCGATTTCTTAAAGGGCAATTCCTTTGTACCATTCCCTAATTCCCAAATTCAAAGCTTTGCACGGCAGTTATTCACAAGTGTTGCTTGTAGGTATCTTGATCCATCAACTCGACTCGCTAGCTAATATCAAATCAGTTCTACACGACTTAAACTTAATTCACACAGATCTCAAACCCGAGAACATCTTGTTATGCAATAGTGCATATCAAGCTTTTACCTACAGCCGCAAGATCCCTTCTTCATCAACCACGGTTAGCCGGCAAGCGGCACAAAGGAAGGTCCTTCTGGATACAGAAATTCGACTCATTGATTTTGGTTCCGCAACATTTCAGGATGAATATCACTCATCTGTTGTATCTACACGTCATTATCGAGCTCCGGAGATTATTCTTGGGCTTGGTTGGTCTTTCCCCTGCGATATCTGGAGTATTGGATGTATACTTGTCGAGTTCTTCACAGGGGATGCCCTTTTTCAAACACACGACAATCTGGAGCATTTGGCCATGATGGAAGCAGTATGCGATAAGAGACTAGATAGCCATCTCATTCAGCAAGTCAACAGTATGGCAAAACGAAATGGGGGGAACCCAGCCCAAAAGTAAGGACCCTAGGAACCTTCCTTGGAATATATACTGATGCCATTTCTCAGATATTTCAAGCGCTTAAAACTTGAATACCCAAATGCTGATACCACAAGGGCGTCCCGGCGATTTGTAAAGGCTATGAAACCCTTGCATGTAAGTATTCTCAATATTCTCTGTAGCGAACTTGACTAACAAATCAAAGGAAATTATTAAGGATCAATCGAGGTTTAGCAAAAATTTCCTAGATTTACTGAAAAAGATATTTGTCTATGATCCAAACGAACGCATCACAGCCAAGCAGGCCCTTCAACATCCATGGTTTAAGGAAGCTGCAACGGCAGACGATGGTACGGAAGCAACAAAAATCAGGTTACAAAGACAGAGCGGAACATATGTGGCACCACAGAGGCATCACTGAGCGATTCATGAAACTATGACGGCGTAAATGGCATGGGACATGGGATGGATATCTTATTACTCTGCACTACTTGTTTAGTTTTAGCAGCAGATCGCAGTGGTAATGACTTTTGTATTATTTTACATAAATATTCTGCTTCCGGAAATACTCTGGGCGTCTTGATTACTTCGAGGAAATAGACACAGGAAGGATTTCCGGCGAAAGTTAACACAATCAACTTATCATAATTTTAAGAGCCTCGTTGGGTTTAGAAAGGTTTTCATTTAAACAATTGCCTCGTCCTCGGGTGTTAGTAATTGACCCTTTGAGTTTTGATATTGGATGCCATATGACGTCGTTTCGGCTACCGTAGAATTTTCCAAACCATGTCGAGTTATCGATAATTAACATTTTGTGAGACGGCGACAAGAAAATATGAACTGAACATTTTCTTCGGCCTTAATGCAGAAACTCTCATCAATTGCAAGACTGAAGCTCAATTTTAGATTTCAGAATCTCAGAAAGTCACTTCGCATAGCGATAAGAGCTTTCCCAAGGAAAGAGAGTTATACTTTTCCTCCACATCCAGCAAGATTGTCTCCTTTACCTACTCAATATATTCTGGAAAATAAGAATAAATTACTAGTCTCTCCGACACCATCTTCCCAGAATACGGAATTTGGGAATAGAAAGCGATTTCTTATTCTCAGAGAAAACCAGGGGAATGTGTATCACAGCGTAAAATACAGGAAATCATCGAACGACAGAAGGGCGAGACAACATCGACCAGGAGAACTAGTCAAAATGCGCAGTTATATCCAATTCCTCACAACACCCACGGTGGATACGCCTGGGACCACATTGCTTTTGCACTTCGATAATAAAAGATATCTGATTGGGAATATTGCGGAGGGAACTCAAAGAGCATGTGTGCAGTGCAAAATTGGGTTGATGAAGGTCGCAGAGGTTTTCATGACTGGAAAAGTGGATTGGGCTTCGACTGGAGGAATGTTGGGCATGATTCTTACCTTGGCAGATGCGACCAGCACTTCGAGAGAGGCACAATTTCAACATGAGAACGCGAAAATGCAGAAGAAAGGAGCGCTTGCCGCAAAACCAGAGAAGGCTTTTCTAAACATCCATGGGGGGGAGAATCTGACACATCTACTTGCGACGGCTAGAAGATTTGTGTTCAGGAATGGGATGCCATTATACACAAATGAGTATCGCCCGGATAGAGAGCAGAGAACGAATTGGAGTCCTACGTGGAGTGATGATAATATCAAGGTTTGGGCTATGGCAGTTAAGTCGGAAAAAAGTGCGAAACGTAGTGGGAAAAGAAGCCATGATGAATTTTCAGATGATTCTCCGGACGGTTCTCTGGCTGAAAAAAGCCAGGATCTTATACTTAAGGAAGCCCAAGAACTTCAAGATGAAGAGGATAATAAACATCAAATACGAAAGTCTGTCGTATCTTCTATGTTCGATTCAGATTGGAAATTGGATACTCTTCATTCTATGAAACTCAAGGATGTTAGAATGCCTGCTGCCATTTTCATTAGGGATTCAGACGGTAAGATACAGAGATATCAAGGACCGAAACCCGGAGGAGCTCAGGAAGTTCCCGATATTGAAGTCCTTACACGAAAACCTTGGCCAGGAGCACTCGTGGAATCTTTACCTCAGACTAAACCTTCCACCAGTTCAGTCTCATACATTATCAAGAACTATCCTCAGCGTGGAAAGTTTAATGCCAAGGAAGCCGAGCGATTGAATGTCAAGCGAGGTGCTGATTATCGAACTTTGGTGTCAGGGAAAAGTGTGATTGCGACTGATGGTACCATTGTCACTCCAGAACAAGTCTTGGGAGAAAGTAAAGAAGGTAGCGGTGTTGCCATTCTGGAAGTACCTGATGTCTCTTACATTAAAGGACTACTCGCTCGTGAAGAGTGGAAATCAGAAGAAGTCATGGCCGGTGTTGAATTAGTGATTTGGATTTTGGGACGTGGTGTTTTAGCAGACCCCAGTATACAAAAGTTCATGGAAGAGTACAAGAAATTCACACATATCGTCTCTTCGCAAGATAATTCTCCAAATTATCTTACTTTTAGCTCGGCCGCAGCCCAGGCCATTCGTTTGCATCTTCTCGATTCAGAACGTTTCCCAATTCCTTCATTCAGCAATGCATCCGAGCCACCATCTCAGCCCGTACCATATTTAAGGGCAAAATTAGGGAAAACAATGCTGCTTGAACCAAAATTTGAGATTCAAGATGACAAGTGCATTCCTTATCTTGATACTCAACAGGTGGTAAAGGAAGCAGATCCTGAAGTCCTTGCTCTGGCAAATGAAGCTCGAAAAGAGATCATGAGCCCAGAGTATCAAGCAAAGCTTGATGAAGTTCAAAAAGACATACCATGTAAAGATGCAGAAGTTATTACTCTCGGAACTGGTTCGGCTTTGCCTTCGAAATATCGAAATGTTTCAGCTACTTTACTCCGTATTCCTGAATATGGCAATTACTTATTTGACGCTGGTGAGAATACGCTTGGTCAAATGAAAAGAGTCTTTGGCAAAGATTTACCAGGTGTACTTTCCAATCTCAAAGCAATTTGGATCAGTCATCTTCACGCTGATCATCATCTCGGCACTGCTTCAGTTATTAAAGCATGGCATGATGAGACATCTAAGAATGAAGCAACGAGAAACAATAAACTTGCTATAGCATCGGATCACGGTATGATTCATTGGTTGACGGAATACTCAGAAGTCGAGCATTATGGATTTGAGAGACTTGAGCTTATTGAGATGACTCCAGCAGTCAACAATCTCTATGAAGAATTCACGGCAGCACAAACCGAAGCATTCGGTCTTTCATCTATTCAAGCTTGTCAGGTGAGCCATTGTCATGGCGCTTTGGCAGTTGCATTCAACTTTCCAAACGGATTCAAGGTTGCTTATTCAGGTGATTGTCGACCTTCACAAGACTTTGTTAGAATTGGCCAGGGTGCAACATTGTTGATTCACGAGGCTACATTCGATGACGAACTTCAAGGTGACGCTATTGCCAAGAAACATTCAACCACCTCAGAAGCAATGAATATTGGAAAGGGTATGGGAGCAAGACGTATTTTACTCACCCATTTCTCCCAAAGGTATCAAAAGATACCAGTAATGGATAGTGAAGTTACAGATCAAGTTGCCATTGTCGCATTTGATTACATGAAAGTTAAGATATCTGATTTTTCGAAGATAGCGGCATTTAGACCAGCGTTATTAAAGCTTTATGAAGAGAAAGAATAGTTTAGGATTGCCATTTTTGCGATTTCACGACTACGGGGGACATAGGGAAAAGCATGGTTTAGGACGGGGCATTATCACTTGAATAAGGTCTTAGACTGGGTACATAAGGAAATACGTTTATATTGTAAAGTACTAACAAAGAAAATTCTACATCTTGAGAGGAGACCAGCTCCTCTCTTCTTCCATCCCCAAAACTACTTCTCATCCACTCTATTTCATGAAATCACTACATCGAGTTCCCCGATCACTGTCCTCAACCTCAGAGTGAGCAACATGTGAGCTTCGTGAAAAAGGGTTTACTAGAGGATCTGGTCTTCGATGACGTGGTGCGTGTTTTTCTTTGGGTTTGTTCTCATGACTCGTAGTACGAGGAGAAGGGGGCGAGGGACATGCTCGTGGATTTTCATAGTAGCTTCCACGGTAAGCATGGTGATTGGTCGCTGGTGGATCTGCAAATGGATCCGTGAATTGAAGTTTAGCATCTTCGTCTGATTCGGCGGCTGAATTGTCTTCACTTCCAAAGAGATGCCGATACGTGTTAGCTCGCCCTTCGGCTCTATCTTGAGGAATTCGTGAAGCGTTGACTGCGTCGCGGGAATAGACTGATGCACTTTTCCCTTCTACAGGCCTTGAAACGTTGTGGAAAAATCCACCGCTGTAAGTCACGGTGTCGCAAAAGGCAGCATGAACCTCTCCTGCCGGGTGAGCTGATCTATTTGCGAGAGATGTTCTCGAAATCATATTGGCATAAAAGTCCACAATTTCATTCTCTACATCTACATCTCCATCTCCTACAGAATGATCGTGTCCAAGAAGTGTTTGGGCCTCGCTATTTCTGCCCATAGGATTTTCCGTTCCCTGTAATTGTTCTCTTGTGGCAGCCCTTCTAAGTGCCTGAAGATGTTTCCTACATTTACAAATTTCTCTTCCTAAACCCGTCGATTCAAGTTTCAGGGCTTCGAAATTTTCATGCCATTTTCCCCATGCTCGTACTACATCAATCCAACCCTTCATCTCTCTATTCTTCTTTCTACGTCCCAAAATCGACGCCCACAAATCACGAACAATATCTCGATTTCCACCAATCGTCGCAAGAATACAAGCCTCACAGCCCGAAGCCACGCGTTGGTAGCGCGGTTCCGAAGGCGATACTTGATATGCCTGACGATAAAAATCAGGTTGCATCCAGATACTATTCAATCTTTGCATGCGAACGACAAATTCCCGCACATTGACGGGTAATTCTTCAAACGCTCCGTCGGAAACTAATCGCTGCATTCGCGTCGTGCTTTCGGCGGTTAGCTCGAGAAATATCTTGCGGATTAGATAGGGATTTAGTGCTTTATGCGCGGGACATAAGATTGTCTTGGTTTCGCCTAATCGGAAGGAGGATATAGAGGCGGCGACGCGGGAGATTAGGCCGCTGGATTTGGGGTGCAGAAGACAGGGGGGAAAGTTTGTAAGGAGCTTTTCTTGCTCGTGTAGCCAGGCGTCGTTGGGGAGTGTGTTTGGAGGGAGCGCTAGGAGCTGCGTGAGGAGATCGAGGGGTGTGCGGGTGAACTCGGTGAGTTTGTCGCTTGGGGAGGGGATGTTGATTTTTCCGGCGACGGTAGTGCGCGGTTGGCGGAGGAGTGGTTCCAGTAATTTTTGCATGGTTGCTGTTGCTGTTGTAGTTGTGGTTTCTGGTAGACTACTTGGAATCTTGGTGGTTTGAATAGGTACTTTGTACTTTTGGTTGGATGTTCAAACTAAATATTCAAACTGGATGGCAAGAACTAGATTGTTTCGGTCTCTTGAATCTCCTGTCACTTTCTGGAATTGAGGATCTCTTTGTATGTTCATAATGGTATTGTTTTGAATATATTCTAGAAGTAAGTATACTTATTTTCTTTGATCTTTGTGTTTTATTTTCCTTTGTTGATTGTCTCTGTTCTGGACAAGGAGAATTTTAATAGAGTGAGCATTATTTTGGTGAGCATTGTTTAAGTGAGAATTGTTTCAGTGAGCATTGTTTCGGCATTTCTTTATACATTCGAGAGTTCTCTGTGAGGAATATAATGAAGCTCTGTTTAAGGACACTTTCTTTGAATAAAATAATCACATTGTTTCATTTCCCTTCAGAGAAGAAACCACGAACAATAAAATCAAAGAATCGAGATCCCCTTGTTCGAAACAAGAAAATGTGTATTTAACATTACATATCCCCATCTCTGTTCTTCTTTTCTCTCCGTTTCCCCCCAACAGATAGTAAATAAGTGGCAATCGGGTCTCTACACCACTAGACACCAATTCCCCTCGATAAGAATCACGACCAACGATCATTAATCACCTCACGCACCTACACCATCTACAACACCTGATCCGCAAGTAACCCCCAATCAAAGAAGAAAAGAAATGCCCCTCCATATCCTCGAACTTCGTCTTCCAGGTAGCAGTTCCACTTTCAACTCGGACTCAAACTCGAAATCGACATCGGACTCGAAATCAGGCTCGAAAGCCAAAGCCCGCTCCGTTTCACTCCCTTTTTGCTTCCGCCCAAAATCTACCTCGGAATCTCATACTTCTTGCTCAACGCAGACGTCTGGATTGATTCGGGAATCTAGGGGTACACAGACGGAATTTGAAGCAGAAGAAGAAGAAGAATCGGAATCAGAATCAGAATCAGAATCGGAAGCAGGACAAGGATCAGAACCACAACCAGATTCGGAAGCACAACCACTCCTAAACCCCAACACCTACACATCCTTCACAAACTTCAACATCAAACCACCCCGTAACAGAGCCTCACCATCTTGGTATGTAGTTGTAGGAGGTGTAGTAGCAGCTTTGTTTTTCAGATGTGGACTTTATAGAATTGGGGGATAGAGGGAGTGATAGAGATATCAATGAGGTGAGTTTCCATTCCTGGGGTTTATCTGCTAATTTTCTTTTGTTTTTCTTTTTCTTTTGTTTTTAGATGAGTTTTGGGTCACTTACGACATTCATTTTTATGATCATGATCATGATATGGTAAGATTTTATGATTCGATATGACATGATAGGATTAGGATTAAGGTTAAGTTTTTGGGGTTATGTCTTTTGGTTTTTATTATTTCTTTTCCTTTTTCTTATTTCCTTTTTTTTTCTTATTTTTCTTTACAGTCGCTCACTCGCTCTTTTCGTATCATCACATCAGATTGAAAAGAAGATTAGAAAAACAGAAATAGAGAAACTTACTCGAAAGAAAACAAGGAAAGAAAATCAAAAATTAATTAAAATAATTATTTTTCAAAAAAGATAAATATATTTTTATAAGTTTGTAAGTTTTTATTCCCCGTTCCTTTTTCGTTTTTTTATTAATTTTTTTTATAGTTTTTATTAATTTTTTTCTTAATCAGATGTCTTGGTAAGTTATTCCTTCCCCCCTCGCGTTCGCTAATTGTGTATAGATATATTTTTTTATTTTATTTTTTATTTTCATCTTTTTTGAAAGAATTATTCAGGTAAGTCACTCACCCCCTCTTTCGCTAATTGTGTGTAGGTAATATTATTATATTTATTTTTATTTATTTGTTATTCGGAGATAGATTAGGGTGAGTCAATCCTCCTCTCTTTCGCTAATTGTGTATAGTTATATTTTTTTGTTGCTAGGAGATAGACTCAGGTAAGTCATCCTTCTTTTCCTTTTTACTAATTCTGTGTAGATTTAATTTTAGTTTTTTTTTTTTCTTTCGTTAGGAGATAGAATCAGATAAGTTACTCCTCACTCTCTTTCTTTTGCTAATTGAGTATAGGTATTTTCATTTTTATGTTTATGTATTTACTATTAGGAGATAGATTCAGGTAAGTCATCCCACTATCCCTTTCGCTAACTGTCTGTAGGTATATTTCGATTTTTTTGTTGTCAGAACATAGGAATCAGGTAAGTCATCCCCCTCCTCCTTTTTGTTAATTAAGTGTAGGTATATTTTAGTTTTATTTTTGGTTTTCAGAAGATAGGAATCGAGTAAGTCATCCCCCCCTCCCTTTTGCTAATCGAGTACACAGGTAAGACTTATTATCGTCATTCTTTCTATAATTTTATCACAAGAGATGAAAATCCAGGTACGTCATTCCCTTCCTCTATTCGCTAATCGTATTAGGAACTATTATCATATTTCCAATCATCTAATTCCGCTGTGTTTTTATAATAAAACAAGAGAGTAAGATAGGTAAGTCATTCCTCTCCTTCCATTTTGCTAATTGAGTTCAGACGTATGTACACCAAAACATTTTATTTTCCGGCAATTTTAATCGTAAGATCGATTGCCGATAATCGTCATACAAAATAGACATCAAATATAATCAGGTAAGTCAATTCCCCACCCTTTAATATAAACTGCTTTATAGATCTATCCATATATTTCGCCTCCTTTCAACCCGATTTTACATGCATTGAGATAAATCAAAGCCGAAATAAATATTTAGGTAAGTCCTTTTTCCTCATCTTCCACTTTCAGCTAACTAGTTCTAAAGATACATTCTTACAAAAATTTGTCCGTTAGCTTCCGAGAATACAGTAGTGTAGTTCTAATCAGAACTTTCTTAAATATACAGGTAAGTTCTTCCTCACACCCCTTTTGCTAATCGGTTTTAGACAGTAATTTTCTTCTTCTTTTTTTCTCCCTCCTATTCAGATAATGTAAATATCAAGCAAAGCATTAAGTTCTTCTATTGCAGGTAAGTTCTCCATCATTCTCCTCTTGGCTAATTCGAAATATAGATGAGCTTTATTTTCTTTTCTCCGCACTCCCGTACATTATGGTATTCATAGCCGTCAATATAGGTTTATATTTATATATACATTGCATTATACAGGTAACCTATCTCCTTTTCCCTGCTTTAGCTAATTCGAGATACAGGTAGTTCAATTTCATCTCCTCACGCTCCGTGTATTCTGTATCCACAGTCCTTAGAATAGAGAAGTATCCGTATATACTATACTATAGAGGTAAGTCCTTTCCCCTTCTCCTCTCTTCTTCGCTAATAGATTTCCTAGCTAAGCTCACTTGCTTCACCTGTTCTCTCAGATTCAGATGTACCTACTCGTGTAATACCATCACAAGTGTTACTATACTAGATTGGTAAGTTCTCCTCCCCCTCCTTTCCACTTTCTCGCTAACCGACTCTATAGTATAGGCTTATAATATTTAATATACCTGTCCGGGAACAGAGATAGGGGATTTGAAAGATGAGATGTATTTATTGAGTTTTATAAATATTATCAAATATACCCCCCTCCACCCCCCCCCCCCCCCCCCAAAAAAAACAAAAAGCCCAAGTTCTAATATTTATCATAAACCTCATTACAATAAACTTCATTAATCTTACCTTCAATCCAGCACTAAAAAATAGTATACATCATACATAAATTCACTTTAACTCCACTACTACCCTGCCCTAACTAAGATATCCATTACACTTCAGCCCACCAAGCCTTGCATCTTGTATAACTAACTGCTTTCTTGATTGGAAGATCTATCTATAGATACCTAGGTAGCTATTTACTTTTCACAACAAAAGTTATATATATCTAAGATCTTACTATAAATATATCTGCTATAAAATCAACATCACCTCACCTCACCTCACAATCTCAACAATCAAACCCACCAGCTAGCTAACCGCCCAATATCATCAATATAATAAAGATAAGCTTAAAATGTATCATTAACAAATATTTCATTAGATTTCATTTATTCTAAAACCTCATCTTCATCCCCATCCCTATCTCATCCCTATCTCATCCCTATCTCATCCTGACCTGGTGGTGTCGTCTGATTAATATCTACAACGCAACTTCATCCAACACCTTGCTCCCCTTAGAAGCAAACAAACCATACCAATAGATCTTCGAAGTCAAAAATGCCCGTCTGTTTCATTCCTTTAACTCCCTTTCCCTGCAACTTGTAAGGATACCATTTTTCTTTTTCGACTAAAACCATAACCATTCATTTGCCCCAACTAACCACCAAGAGAATACCCTTCGACCTTGAAAATCAACCAACCGCCCAATTCATTTTTTGTTCCCATACCAATACACATCTATACAAAACGGAATCCACTGTACCGACCCAATTTAACCCAACTCTCAACGTAACACTATGTACTGTTCTTCCATCCTACCCACATCTCTCAAGCACAACTGATAATCTCATATATCCAGTCAATGCCCACCCATACCTCCACTCCCACTTATACCACCCATACCCATTCCTATCATACTCTGTTCATCAGTTCTCATTTCGAAATCTCTCCCATACGCATTACTCCCAAACGCATCATCAGCATTCATTCCCACATCCATGACCATGTCAGGAGGATCCATATTAAACGGGGAATACCATGCATTAGAAACCCCATTTTCAATGTTCATCATATCGTATACATTTCCCATTCCGCCAATGCCAAAATCAGGCCAGTTCATCAACGATCCATCTCCATTGTGACTCGGGCCTGGTTTGCTACTAACACTCATGCTGCCGTTCATGCCGTTGACGTTCATATTGCCACGCATACCATTGTTATTCATAGCCGAATGATCCATGCCCGCGAAACCATCAAACCCTGGCTGTCTATCGAGTTGTTGTTGGACCATATTATGCGACTGCTGTGTCGGCATGAGCAGTTCGTGATGACTCAAAAATTGTGTAGGTGACATGACATTTTGATTATAAGTAGTTTGAGCTGCTTGCTGAGGTGAAATTTGAGGGTGTGAGGATGAAGGGGTAGACACTTGCATTCCCATATGTGCACCTTGCATATTGGGAGCCATCACTTGTATTGGATCCATCTGTGGGGTTTGGGAAGGTTGTGATGAAGATTGGTTTCTTTTGGGCTTTTGCCTTGCTAGTTTTGAATTTGGTTGTTGTTTTGGACCCGGAGAAGGGAGATCTTTGACGTAATTTGCTACAGTCTTCAAGTCGGATTTTTGTTCAAGAACAGCATCATCCCCTTTCTCCTTTTTGATAGCGGCAGCAGGATCTTCAAAGTCAGACTGTGATACACCATGTGGAAATTGATCAAACCAATCGCCATACTGGGGAAATGTTGAACTTGAAGTCCCATTCGATCCAGCAGTATGTCTATCAGCACACATTTGATAATGTTTTCTGAGAGTTTCGGACATCCAATGAAACATGCCCCAATACTTCTTCATCATTCCTAAATATTTCAGAGTAATTGTAAGATTTCGCTTACAAGACTCTTCCAAGGCGGGATTTCCCGAAAAAGCTCCAAATACTAGAGTGATACTGGCTGAGAAGGCACAATAACCAATAAAAGGGGCAGTAATGGGATGAGATTTTCCATCATTTATAAGTTGAGCGATGCGACCAGCTGCTTCCATTGCGTTTGTGCGCATTCTGGCAACAAATTCTTTAGGGGCGTTAGAGAGAGGTCCACCAGGTTCCAAATGTGTCGCAAAGTCATTCAGGAACAGAGTGGTTTGTTGAATGACGATGTAGAGAAATATGAACTGATTTACTAGCCCTTCAGATTCATGTGCACGAATATTCTCGCTATTATACACCATATCGTGTGGCATAGCTTCTTCAAAGTCTTTCAATTGTTTGATGAGACTAAAATATTTCGATTCTGGTTGCCACATGGGATATGGATCTTTGTCGCTAGCGCCTTGTTTGAAGTACGTGATAACATTAGAATACAATGCAATTGATCGAATCACGTATGCCGCTACTCCCAAGTTTTGTTTGGGATCAGATTGCTGTGGACCACTAGGCGTGCTGGGACGTGCAATCTCCCCACGAAGACTTTCCGTTGGTCCTGGGATGTCGAGCAGAAACATTTGCTCTTTCACGGGTAGTTGTATCTCAAGAGTCTCTTCTTTGATAAAGGTTGGCCTACCAGTGCCTGAAGATTCAAAACGGTCCATAAGAAAGCATGCCCACATGGTTCGCCGTCGGATTTCCCTGTCAACAAAGCTTAATTTCACCAGATTGCCGCTCTCGTCAACCTTTGGCTTGTGAGGGTCGTAATCGAGGTCTTGATGTAGTTGCAAAGCATATGCCATACGGATGGCCTGCCCTGCCAGAGACCAACTCCTACCACCGTGACAAGTGCCAAACTCATGGAAGCCAAGAATTAACAAACATGTCAAAATTGTGATATTCGGCCAATCATATCGTTTCAAAACAATATCACGAGCTTCCGATGCCCATTCTTCCCCTTTCAAGAAAGGTTGTCCATTAGTCAGTTCAACGTGATCGGAAAACCGAGCAGCGCAGGCACAAACAGCTAATACCAGGACAGGAGGAAGTGTCTCGGAACTAATAAGTTTCGGTAGTAATAGAAATCGGGATTATTTGGGTCAATACTGACTTTAATTTCATCATAAAGCTTGGCTTGTGCAATAAATGATACGTCTGACCATAAACCTTCTCGAAGAAAACCTCAGCCAGGTGCTCTTGAAGCTCCCGTGAAGGCAACTTTTCTGCGCCTTCTTTTAGCAGTCTGCTTTCTGCTTCCTCCTGTGCTAGCAGCGATTTGGATTTCGAACCCAGTTTTCCATTTTCCTTTAAAGGCTTCGAGGCAGACTTTGACCATGCATCTAATTCGGCTCCAAATGCTTCTTCCGCGGGGCGCTTTTTCCCAGCAGTAGTTTTGGATGGTAACGTTCCAGGAATTGGAGGTTTAACATTAGCTCTTACGACTGCAGGGGTTCCGCTTTGCTCTTCCTTTGGCACAATATTTGTAATGCGCGACTCCATTCGTTTTAGTCTCTTGTCAAGCATTCCCATATAGTCTGTCCGCGGAGCTGCCTTTTTTGTTGTAACCTTATACACACAAGGGATTTTCGATCTTGTGCAATTTACGCACGCGGGCTTTTCTCCCGAGCAACGGATCTTTTTCCTTCGACATGCGGTACAAGCCAGTGGCAATCGCTTTCGCTCCTTTCCTGCCTTTGTTTTAAGCTCTGTCCATGCAGGTGCTGAATCGATTCTGTCCTTCCTTTTCTCTTCACTACCATCTTGTGCGCCTCCCGTATTCATTTTGAGATCATCACCGAAAGTTGTATCGCCTTGGCGAGAAACTCCCGTTATTCGATTGCTTGTGGGACTTGCTTCTTCTGATCCTCCACTCAAGCTACCATGTCGCGCCGCCGGTCCAGATATGCTACCATAGCCCTTTCGATGGATCGAATGTATAGATGATATGGAATCTCGATGTTCGGTGGAAGTCGTGACATTAAATGGATCTGAAGTATTATTCAACTTCGCCTCCCCTGGTGTTACTGTACTCTCTCCAAATCCATAAGGAAATTCGAAGTCACTGAGGTTGAGCGTTCCAGATAGCTCAAGTGGCGGGGTACTTTGTGCCAAACTTTGATGGGATTGATTCGCATTTTGGTAATCGGAGGCATTCTGCGCCTGGAAATTCGCGTGTGGTTGGTTCGAAGACATCATATCTGTGCCACGCTTGTGAGATCTTTCCGTTTGCTGTACAATGTCTCACAGAACCACAGTACATCGATCGTTGAATGCCTAATTCGCGTTAATCACCACCACTTCTCATTACTTTGTGAACCCCGACTACCGAGCAGTCAGTGAGTTTACCATGTATTCAAGTATCCTTCAATCGCAATGGGTCGAGAGGTTAGAAGTCGGATATTCGGTCGGGTCGGGATGACGTCGATGCGCAAAAAATGATCAATCTGTGGCTGTGACAGAGAGTATGAAACCGC